GTGTATTTTTACCCTTTTGTAATTTAATTAAAATTACCACATATCGCATGAACAGTAAAATAAAAATATAATATTTTCCTTTACTTATTTCGAAAACTTTCAGAATGTATTAATATTCAAATTTTTGCACGCGGCGGATTTGGATTATTTTCGGTCCTAATGTTTACGTTCTTATTTTATGTGGGTCTAGTATTATTATTATAAGATATTGGTTGGTCTTTAATTTTTTTAAGAAATATCAGTTTGATTGATAACAATCTCACCGGAGTCTTGAAGACCATTTTAGTATCAAATCAATGTACCTACCTACTTAAATCGCTTCTATTTCAGTATTGATAATGCAATTTACGAGTACAGTACCTGAAACACAGTTTTGTTTCAATATGGCATCAATTTCAAGTACATAACACAAGTTACCATAACGCTAGTGTTTACACTAAATGATTTATTGAAATCCAATCGAACATTATAAAATCACCCTTACTCCCTTATCGCTTCCTCGATATTATCGCAAAATCCGTCGCAACTCACCCAATTTTAACACTAACCTTATCTCGCTTCGACGTATGTCGATCGATAGAGACGGAGTCATAATATCGCGATAAACAGTTTATAGCGTGGAGGATAATCAGTCGCAATTGCCAGGACTCGAAGTGACATTACGTTGAAGGGACGTGTGTAATTTTTTCATTCATGTGCCTGACGGATTGAGAACGCTCGCGCAATATCATGGTAACTATTTTTTTATTCACAAAAAAACTATACTTCTTTTGACGTTCCATAGTTAGAAATAAGTGAATTTTTAAGTAGATAAAGTAGTTTTACATTGAGAATTATTAGCATATTTTTAAGTAAGCAATAATGATTTGAACCAATAGAAAATAGTTAGATTTTCTTAATAATATTCATTGAAATAAAATATTTTCAGTTTTCTTCTTCCCTCGAGTGAAAGTATCTTTTTAGAACTACTTTTACTACTATTAAATTCACAAACTTTAAAATGATCCTAAAATCATAGAAACTTTTAACCACCTAAGAGACATCAAAGTTGTAAAGTGCATAATTTTATAAAAATAAATAGATACTGATTATGACATAATAACTAAAAACAACATTGTGATGTGATAAATTATCTCGATAAATCAGCACTTGAATACTAAAATATATTTTTCAAAATGCTGGTGAAATAATAATGACGATAGGTTAAATTTAATTACTTATTTATAATCTAAATCAAACGGTTTGCATACTGGACTAAAACATCAGTTACTGTTGTAAATTTGAATCCCATTAGGAACAAAATATTTGCGTGATAGTTACGATACGAGTATTTACATAATATAGAGTCATGGAAGCATAAGGGTGGATTCGACCAAACAAGAGTAAATTTAATCTCAGAATAAATCGTCAGTTATTCGTCATTTTGGCATAATATTTCCATACTGAAACTGTCAATGTGACAGTTATACCAGGAGTTATTCTCGGATAAAAGTTTGGTCGAATCGGGCCTAAGCACAAAATTGCTTTCATAAACTAAAGACTTATGGTTCAAAGTCCATAGAATTATATGTATAGAATAATATGCCTAAACCTCACTTAACGTTATAACTTTCAATCATAATATCGACAATATGTACAATTAGGTCGTTCCTAGAGCAGTTTTATACGCGTTCCCTAGTGATTGTTCAAGTCGTTTTAAATTAATATTGCGACAGTCGTCTTGACCCCAGATTACGAGACAACTTATTATGTTTCTGCTAGTTGTAGAACTACTATACTACCTCAGAGATTATCAGAAGTGTTGTTAATATGAGTTTTTACGTAGTTGTCTTAAATTTGACTCTATCGCCACTGCACAAAATACACCTGACTCTACTTATTTGCCAATTTGCTAGCTCTGACCAAGTTAATAAGAACTATACTATGTTAACTACAAAAATGATAATTATAGTAAAATAGTAACAGAATACATTGTATTTACATAACATTGTCATAAGCATATTTACGCTCCCTGTGGAATTCGAACCCTCTACTGCAGTGGCTCTTGCAATCCAGTACCTACCAGGCTCACAGGAACACCAATTTCTTTCGTATTTCATACAGTATAAGTAACGATTTAACTTTCAATCATAATTGTTTTCTAATCATCAAAATGACTAACACATTGTCACATTTGAGTCATGACTGACAACAACAACAATTATCATCATTAAGTGAAATGATAATTTAATTACTTTCTCATCAAACGAGATATTTCCAATAGTCTATACTTTCTTTTAAAATTAACTCAAAAATATTATACCTAATGACGTAATGACGTCGGTTGTATTTTTTATAATATTATTTACTTGACATTAGAAAAATAGGATAATCTCCTGATAAATTATTGTCTTACAGATAACAACGTAACATGCTTAAAATAATCACAAATTATACACGTTCCACAAACTAAGATAATGCTAATCCAAAAGTATTTTTACATAGAATTTACTAGCTATTTCACTATCTGAAGTTGGTCACTGATATCAATTTATCGTTATGATACGACGAATTAAAAATCCACACTTATCGGTACAAATATTTCAACACTACATTGTCGTTTCCTACTACGATTATTAAGATTTCAACATACATTCAAGCATTAGAATTAGAATTATTTACTTAACAATATTCCTAGTGCTCTTAATAAAATAACCTATACAGTGGTCTGAGGAAACCAAATGTAATGATACGACTCTGATGTTCGTTTCAGCTCAATGACGTCCACAGCTGGACAAAGGCCTCCTTCCAAGGATTTTCACAACGATCCTAGTGAACTTCGGTTATAATTGACCCCTATTACAACTATTATATAAAATTCCATGTTTAGCTTGCTGTGCTGTCATCTGTACTTTATCAACTTTATAAAGGACTAGCATTCCGCCCGCAGCTTCGCCCGCATGGAATTTTGTCAGTCACAGAAAAACATTATCGCGCGCGTCCCTGTTTTAAAAACCGGGATTAAAACTATCCTATGTCCTGAAACCGGGACTCAAACTATCTCAATGCCAAATTTCATCAAAATCGCTTCAGTGGTTTAGGCGTGAAAGCGTGACAGACAGACAGACAGACGGACAGACAGTTACTTTCGCATTTATAATATTAGTATAGATAAATATACGAGTACATAAATACAAATAACTGCCAAAATGAGTGGTCATAATAGCTAGTTTCTGGATTCTTAGAATGACGTTAAAATTTCGTTTCCGTTTTAGATTTTTTTTAAGTCATCAGCCAATTTGTATAACATAATTAACTTCGAATAATTTACTTAAAAATACACTTTGTAGACTCTACCGTATTTTTTACACAAAAGTCTTCATCATTTCACTCGTACTTCAGGCTCAGTTGATAACGAGATTATGAAAGCCCTTGAAAATATACTGAAGGTTACTATTACTAATAATGTTAATAAGGATGTTAGAAAGTACTTAGTATAATCTAAAATAAACAAAACTAAGATAAAGGTTTTAGTATAGTCAAATTATGACTATGTCCATGAATTATAATGAGTCATTCGAACATAAAATGGCCAAAATGATACAAAACACTTACTATCAGCTCACCATCACAATTTTGGGGAAGTATTTGCTAGGGCTTTTAAAACAATTTATACACAGGACGATGCTTTATCAGGCTTATCATAATAATGTATCCTGTTATTATTAATATAGTTTGCTAAAAAAATTTACTCAGTGATTCGTATTTTTATTGATAAGTTTATCTGCTGGCTAACTAGCTGCTGGCGAGCATGTTAATCATATTATGTGCATAATGCTGCAGTACGGTAGTGTGAAATCTACACCACAGTGTTGTATTACACAGTATTATATCCCGAGCTCGTTAAGTCATGGTTTAACAGTAGACGTAATATTGTAAGCATTATTGATATAGTTTACAATTTTGCTCTGCTATTGTACTTAGGAATCCGTACCCGTATGTTATGATTTAGTTGCATGTAGGGAAGCCCTTTGTGCCTAATTTCATTGTGACTGCGATCAAAAATGAATAGCGGAAGTATGTAAACAATGCATCCACAATGCAACTAAGCAGTATGTAGAGCGTGCAACACGCATTTAAATGAATTCCAGAACAAAATTTCACTTTTTACTGTGTTGAAATGTTTTAATGACATCCGTATGATAACAGCACTAATACCATTATTTGTATCTATTCCAGAGTAAATTATTCTCCTCCAAGTCTACTGACTTCGAGAACGAAGCATTAGAAGTTCACAATGAGTACCGAAGAGATCACGGAGTTGCACCTTTAGTTCTTAGCAAAGAGATATCCAAAACCAGCCAAAAATGGGCCGAAGAACTAGCCAAAAGAGACGCTATGGCGTACAGCCTCAATCAGAAGTATGGAGAAAGCGTGTACTGTGGATGGTCAGCTGACCCCAACACCAAAATCAAAGCAAGAGACTGCGTCGACAAATGGTACAGCGAAATCAACGAATTCTCCTTCGGTCGCGACCCAGATGTCTTAAACTGTGGACATTTCACACAAATCGTTTGGAAAGACACCAAAGAACTAGGCGTTGGCAGCGCTAAGAGCAAATCTGGGAAACTTTATGTAGTCTGTAATTATTACCCCCCTGGGAACTTCAGCGGACAGTTCAGCAAAAATGTCTTACCACCCGGTGCTATGCAGTTTAGGACAAATAGCTATACTAGAGAGGCAAACAACAACCTAGCACCACCAGCTTCACCTAACAGAAACAGCAAAAACTTCGCTTCAGACTTAGTCAGCAAATTCAAATCTACGTCAATTTCTGGTGACAAATTTGAAGACGAGTTTTTGAAGGCTCACAACGAATACAGAAGAAAACATGGAGTACCGCCTTTAGAGTTAAGTAAGAAGCTTAGCAAGTATGCTGAAGAATGGGCAAAGACGATTGCGAAGAAAGGAAATATGGAGCATAGAGAACAGAATGACTACGGAGAAAATATATTCTTCGCGTGGTCTTCAGATCCTAACTTTACTGTATCTGGTAAAGATCCTGTTGATAAGTGGTACAGTGAGATTAAAGACCACTCGTTTGGCAGGGAGCCAACCAGTCTCGGTTCTGGACATTTCACACAAGTAATTTGGGAAGACACCAAGGAAGTTGGAGTAGGCATCGCTAAGTCAAAAGAAGGACAAGTTTATGTAGTAGCAAACTACTTCCCTCCTGGAAACGTAATGGGTAGTTTTGCCAAAAAAGTACGCCCACCAATCAATTGAGAACTAGTAAGAGTTTACTGCCAAAGACATTTACATTCCAAATATTTACTTTAAAGTAGTATTTTTATCATTTATGTTATTTTATAAGGTTACTGCGTTATTATTTATATTACTTTTTGATACTTAACAGTTTGTTTTATTTATATTTTTCTTTGGGGTAGTAGTTCAAGTAAAATATTTATGTAGCAGTATTTTTATCAAAATAAAAAATGCTCTAGATACAATAACTCTTAAGACATTTTCTAAATAATAACATAACTAATAAGTACACATAACTAATAATTGGCAAATACGTAAAACAAAAATAATAATGTATGTCCACTGTCCACTATACATAAACTGGGAATGGCTCAATTTTTTCATCCATAACATCAGACAACCAGTCCAAATAAGGACTTACGGGTGTATTGAAACTTTCAACGCCATAACCACCGCTCATAATCGCAATGACTTTTCCATTAAACAGCAATGGGCCACCGGAATCACCTGAGGCAGACTTTTGTACTTTATTTTCGCATTTTGGACGTACACAAATAAGTGGTCGTATAATTCGTGTCTCAATAGAACAAGGAACTGTTAATCCTTCACCTATTTGCAAGGGTTTGCTTTCATCTTTTTGTCTATGACTTAGGAAATCTTCGTCATGCCCAAATGTAAAACCAAAGCCAGCGTATCTCACTTTAACACCCGTGAACGTTTTATAATCTATTGCAGACAACTTTGCGAATGTGCTCATGTTTTCTATTTTTTCTATCAATACAAGACCAATGTTGTTAATCATGTAATATAGATCTATCATTTCTTTGTAACTCGGATGAGGTACAACTTTTATAACTTTCTTCAGTGCCCGAGTGGTGTTGCGAGGTATCGTCATATCACCGTACCTCACCCGTCGGATGTTTGCACTGATACAGTGTGCGGTTGTCAAAACCCATCGGGGTTGTAGAAGGTTTCCTGAACAATGTCTGTAGATCTCAAATCCATAAAATTGACTTCGTGAGCTTTCCAAACTGACCACATAAGGGTGTTCATTATATAAATCATCGACTCCATGGAGAACCCGAAAATTTGGTTCCTGGCTTTTTTGGTTTGCGGCGATTATTGATAGAGACATCAACTGTAAATATTGAGGTAGTAACGCTTTCATTACCGAAATACTTGTTTATTTTGTTCAATTTTTGCAATTTTTAGTTCCGAGAATCACTCGTAGTATCCGTGTATCGTGAAGCAACGGAAAATAAATGGTTTTCAGAAAGCGATATTATATTTTTTATCGACTGTAAAATTGTTTACAAGAAATATTGGCTAGAAACCAATGGAAATCCATACTCCATACTTACTATTAGTTTAGGGTGATTCCGATTGCATTTTCACATACTAAATTACTAACTTTTTAATGGGATTCTATATTATGTTTAAAATAAAATTTGATTTTTTGCAGGCTAAATTCCGACGTTTTTAGAGTTTTGGAAATCTTATTGTCGATGGAAGGAACAGTGCTAGTACAACCATTTCAGCCAAAAATAATTTGGCTGAAATGTCATGGAGAAAATTCATTGCATCTATAGTAAAATTTCGTATTTTTGAACGTGTACTAAGAATATTTTGACTAACAATCATTTATCCAAGAACATGTGTAGACCCGTATTAGCTAACTTTAAGCCAGATATGAAATTCTATTTTTCATCAGATCTCAGACTACAAAACGGGTACATAAGGGCTCTCCATTATGGCCTTCAACCGGCCACGTCTAGAGGATCGAGATGTAGATACGGCACGGATGGTTGCACACAAGTGACCCTACGTGTACGGTCACCCTTAACTTTAACCACTTGATGATCGTCGACCTCAAGTCCCGATGATAAGGTTCATTTTGGAATAACCGGCTGATCATTTGATCAAAAGTTGCAAGGACAACAGTGAGTTAAGTAATATAGGAAGTTAAATTGGGTATAGGTCAGTCTGTTTACACTGCAGTGGTGCTGAAACTATACGGTATAGTAAAGCGTAATAATGCAACGAATTTTGCCTTTAGATTATAGTATAATATTGTTCTTAACTCTAGAATTAGCAGTCGGAGTTTATTCTTGGGGAAATGTAAAACTACAAAAAAGGAACGATCAAGTGTCTGGCGAAGGGTTGCCACGATGGTAGGTGTCTGTCAATGAATGACGTCATTTCTAACAATAATTTGAAGACAATAATCAAACAATCAACCGTTATAATTTGACGTATTTAGGTAGATATTTTACACACCTTTAGCATCGTCTGTCTGCTAAAGCCACGATGACCCAAACTTCATGTTTGGCCATGGTTCTTAGCTTTGTTGGGAGCATGCCCTGACAAACTTTCAGCCTTTATAAAATAACGTAGGTAGGTCTGGCGTTCACTAGCGCTTACTCTAAAACGGGATGTTCGTGTGAATGCTAATATTAAAACAGCTGGGTGGCACCACTTTAACTTTGACAAACGTCAAAACTTTGTCAAAATCCATAAAAAAACACCATCGTTAAAGTTATGGTCAAAGTTAGGTGGTGCAACTCAGCCTTAGTTTACACAACGAGAACTTAATTCAAACGTTTTGAATTGAATTGAGATCCTGCAAAAAACGGAATCTCTCCGTGGAAGAAAGCATTAAAGTACCAGTGAGTTATCATGCCATGCCATCTGAAGGAAAACATAATTTTCCACCAAAAATCAAATCAGCAATCCAACAACAAACCAAATGGTTCGATGTAATTATAACATAAAATAATTTGATTTCATGGTATGCCTCCTTTGATGGGGGTAATAACATTTCGACGGCCTTTACCGTAAAGTCATGCGGTAACTCCATTATTTTTTATCGTGGTATAAATTCTGTGAAGAATGAATTGGGATATATTGTTGTTATTGACTTTTGGTGTAAGTATTTTTATAAGGATATCTATATCTATAAAAGCATAAGCTCACTAACTGAATGACTCACTCACTCATCATGAAATCTCAAAAACTACAAGTGCTATGAGTCTGAAATTTTCATTTTAAAACGTAAGTGCTCACTAAGACGGGATTTTGCAAAATTCAACTAATAAGGGAGTAAAACGGGATCCACGCGAACGATATCACGGGAGGCCGCTAGTAGATAATAAATAGAAAAATCTTCAGAAGGTACCTACTACTCGACGAATGTTTGACCTGGTGCTCCTAAGTTGCGGCACAAATTGTACAGCGCCCCTAGCGGATACTTTGAAGAGCTAAAATCTTCATAGATTTTATAACGCACACGATATCGAATGCGTTTGATGAAAACTCACACTACGTACCGTACTATTCCGCTACTATTGTTAAAACGACATCTCGCTGACACATTTGTTCGTTCATTAGATAATTCACACGTTAATTATTCACGCACCAAGCCCTTGTCATTGTGATGGTAAAACTATTTGTTTATTTACTAGAGCATGCATAGAGTGTGTTGAAAGCCGTGTGACAGCTTATATAGGGTGTAACAGGTGAAGAAAAATTAAATAGACAACACAAATGTGACGGAATATCCCGAACTCGATATTGCGTCTTTTTTTTTCCTGTAATTGGATTCTGATGATCCATTCTTTTTTTTTCACACCTTCCGCTACACATACAGTTTTTTTTAAGGCAAGTATTGGTCCGCAATCGCACCTGATGTTAAGTGAGATCAGGTGCGATTGCGAAATGACAGCTATTGTTCTTTTAAGAAAAGTTTAAAGACTCCGAATCAGAAGTCATTGTAAAATAATTAACCGATTCTTACACCCTGTATAAAAATAAGCTTTCTTCTATAGCATATTGTACATAAAACAACAACCTACCTAAAGTTAAAAATAACGATTAGCAAGGGAGACCCTCAAGACAGTTGCCGACGTAAAGAACAAAAAAGTATTGTTCTAAATTAAGAAATGTCATTATACTCTGTCCAATATAAAATGATCTCCCTTATCATAAGTTTAAGTCTGAATCGGAGTTAAATAACACTGGTTTAGTTGCCCCCAATCATTAAAATGTCGGTCATTGAAGATCAGATATCCATGTTCAAAGGAGTGAATGTTCACTGCATTAGTAAATTATACCATTCTGCAAATTATTTAATTGGATATGTATCCTATAACATAACGCCTTAATTGATTATAATACAGAGTGTTAGGTAAAGGGTATATGAAGCCGACACTAGCCTATGTTAACTAGGTAGTATAGTGAAGTCTGAAAATATGTTATATCATCAGGCTAGTGTCGGCTTTATATACCATTTACCAAACACCCTGTATAACCAGAGAGTGCATCTGTGCTCTTAAGTGCTAAATAGGTACGTATAGTTAAATCTCAACTGAAAGTTTTTAAGTCACTTAATGTATTTCAAAGTTACTTAGTATGAATGCCCAAACAATGTGTTCATTGTTAGAGAGTGTAGTTAGTTTCTCGCTGTCGAATATTATGAACAAACTTTAAGACTTAGGCTGAGTTGCACAACCTAACTTTAACCGTGTATTTTGTATGGAGTTTGACAGATTTCTGATATTTGATAAAGTCAAAATAAGATAGTGCAACCCGGCCTTAGGCTTAGGTAATACGGGTTGTCTATTAATGCCATGTACACTTGTAGCCTAAAGGACTCTACATGACGTGACCGTAGGCTTGGTAACGGCGGCTTTCTTTTATAATAATCATGTCGACAATTTACACCTTCTATCTTCTTGTTATGTCGACAACAAACCTATACGGTGTTGTCAGTAGCATTCATTAAAGGCTGAGTTGCACCACCTAACTTTGACCGTAACTTTAACGATAACCGGTGTTTTTGTATAGATTTTGACAGATTTTGATGTTTGTCAAAGTTAAAGTAAGATGGTGCAACCTTAATCTTCCTGCGTGCAGTTGTTTGGGCACGCAGGGCACGACATCATGACGTGCTTTATCGACTGGGGAACAAAACCACACTTGCACTCTAAGTTTGAGTTATCTAAGAATCCCCACCTGAACAGATTGACTCAATCATGTCAGCGGGCTTGGTACGTAAACAGCAAAACGGTTTTGGCATCTAACTGCCAATTTGTTCGGAGGCTGACAATAGTGACTGAGTTTCTTGCCCTGCTTCTTCTCAGCACCGGCTCATTTATAGTGCCGAAGCAGTGGTAGGGTTAATACCGGAATGTGTAAAAGTACTTTTTAAAAGCCTATTTGCAAAAATAAAAAAGTTTTATGAGTTGTTTTTTAATTCAAAAGGTCGCTGTTTCAACCTGTTGAAATAGAAAAGATAAACAAACAGATTATTGCCCTAATAAAAGGGCAATCTTCAAAATTAATCAAGCATCAACAATTTGCGAATGGCAGCACCGTTTAATAGGATGATATTGTAGCACTTCCGGCTCTTGAAGTTCCTTTGAAGGATATTTTAATTGCTGTATCTTAGAATTACTTCCGCGGCATTTATTAAAACAGAGATCAATAAGTTCTATCATTTTTGTTTCAGGTCTTCGTGCAAGCTGACCATGATTTGGTTGTAAATAAAGTTATACCTATTTTGAAGGTATTTTTTGTTTATTGTCTCATTAATTTTGATATCGCGTTATTATTTACTTTCCTTACCGTACCCAAAGGGTAAAAAATTCACTGTCCGTCTATGACCTGTGTGTCTGTCATCAGGCTGTGTTTTATGAACTGTGATAGTTTGACAGTTAAAATTTTCACCGAAATTTTCATCACACAAACAATAATTATACTTAAACTTTTTAAAATTTATTTTAAGCCAGACGTAAGTATAACTTTTATTTATAAACTCAAATAACTTTTAAAGCATGCTGTAAAATCTACAGTGTAGATAGTCTATCACTATTATCAATTTTCATTATCACCCTGTATAAGGTAAGGTATGGCTAAGGCTGACCGTAAGAGGCAGGGTTGTTACCCGTAACGAGTGTAACATAAAATCGATAGTAACTCGACTACCTATGGCGTTAGCACAAAATGGAGATGCATAAAGTAAGCCCTTCTTTGTGCTTACTGCTTACCATGAGTTTACATTATTACATTGAATTCACAATAATGGGGATGTTGCCTGGGTCAAAAAGCAAGAGTTTTAATTAGTCCGTCAGTTAAATTATCAAAAAATACTCTACACGTATTTTACACTTTTTCAAACTAATGAAAATTTAGAGATAAAGCGCCCCAAAGTTCATAAGAAGAGGCCCGTGACGTCAACGCTTGCTTAAAAATGCCGCACGTTGTGACGTCGTGCGCAACTTCAACGCACCATAACTATGTAATTATTTGTTAGATTGACAAATAAAAATATATGTGTCCAATATTTTTTGATATTAAACATTACGGACTAAAAAAATTTTTTTAGGCAACTAGCCTATTAATGGCGCAGCGCAGCGGTTGTTTCGCCAAAAATGCGGTGGAATGCGCGCGTCTGTGCGCGTATCCGCTGGAATACGCTCGTATCCGTAATTGAATTGTCAGTTAATCTGTTGTAAGCAATTACGACTAAGAACTGTTAATAAAATACTTGTACGGCCGTGTAAGTGCGCTCCGACGCGTGCCGGTCAATGGGTATCGTCCCTTAGGTGTGTTCCTAGCCTTCGAGCAACTGCGATTGCGTAAAAAATGACATTAAATGTATGACATATTGTACTTTCAAGAACTAAAAACATTCATAATTTTTTTTGACGCACTCTCGCTATCGAGTAAAAACTAAAAACTAAAGTAAACTCATGGTTAGCACACTGTAGTTCGTTCTTTTCAGCCAAATGACGTCAACTGCTGGACAAAGGCTTCCCCCAAGGATTTGCACTGCGACCGTCCTGCACTACTTGCATCTATTCACTTCCCGTAAACTTCGTCAGATCGTGCCAGAGGGGGATCTGCCTACACTACGACTTCTGTAGTTATCATAGTGCTATAAAATGCGGTTCTCTAGGTTGTCTGGAACCGCCTCTGTTGTCTAGTGGTAAGACCACCTGATTCAGACGCAGAGGTCCCAGGTTCGATTCCCTGTGGGGGCAGATTTTTCTGTTCGGTTTGGTTGGTCTGGTGAGATACAGGCCAAGAGCTCGGAGTGGCTCGTTGTGGATTAAAAAAAAGATTGTTTTATAAAAAAAAAGGTGTACAAATATTCTATATATCATTTAATCTATTTATTTATTTTATTTTTATTTTACAAGGAAAACAATACAGTGTAGAAACTATGTAGACTAACATTTTAGAAAACTTATAACCATTAACATGTTTTCACATTTAGAGCCTCAGTAATGCTTGTTTATCAATAAACAGAAATAGAAAATATCATTATAATAATCATAATATAATAATCAATAATCATAATTAATAATCATAATAATATCTTCTCAATTTACCTCCACTGTGACTCTAGTTGCCAATTACCTAGGATGTTGCTTGAAAATTATTAGCCTAAGGCGGTCATATAGGTGATATACTACAATGTATTATGTCTCAGTAATATTAGAAGATGGTGAACACTTGAACCCTGAAGCAAACATGATATTGTGTTTAGTGGAGCAACTATGAAGTTTGATTATCAAAAGTACAATCCAATATTACTCGTAGTACGTGATAACTAATAATAACTAGAGTACCTATAGTTAAAAAAATGTCCTGGGGCTTATTGTGACTTTACATGAAACGTCTTCGCTAGCGACTGCGTAAAAAAATGACTTTGAATGTATGACAGATTGTACAGCGTCCCTAGCGGATACTTTCAAGAACTAAAGTGGTCCTATAAGTGGTTATCAAGTGCTATTAATTGTAAAATAATTAATTATGTAAACCCTGGTCTTCCTAATATAAATAAATAAAACCTACATAGATTTTTTGACGCTCTCGCTAGCGGCAACGTTTGATGTAAACTCACACTAGGCTCTCTGAAATGTATTATAGATTGTTCAGCGCCTCTAGCGGCTACTTTCAAGAACTACAATCGTCTTAGATTTTTTGACGTACTCGCTAGCGATGAAGTTTATGTAAACTCAGTCAGTGCCTGAGGGAAGGAAGTGGCACGGGGGGGGGGTATTTTTGAGACTTCACACGTAAGCGAGATTTCACTTAAGCTTCAAATTTGTTTGCTCTAACTTGGTTCCCATGAGCATTGGGCTTCGGAAGGTAACTCTAATAATTATCTAGAAACCTGAAGTCATTAATTATGTCTCAACCGGAGCTTTGAATGGGTTACAGAATTTACCCTAAAAGGCGTCGGACAAAATTACTGGCTGACTTAGTAATTAGTTTTACACGTGTTAAGTATAAAGTACTAATATCATCAGCAGTCTTAAAATTGGTTCTAGAAGACAATGGGAGTCTTTTCTTCTCATGTGAAATTCCATTGTTTTTTAATGTTCTATTAAATCTATAAAAGCGAAAGGTCACTTATTGACTGACTCACTAATCACGAAATCTCAGAAACTACAAATGCTAGGAGTCTCAAGTTCCTTTTAGAACGTAGGTGCTTACTAAGAACGGATTTTACGAAACTCCACTTATAAAGGGGCAAAACGGGATCCACGCGTACGAAGTCACGGGCGGCCGCTAGTATTTTCAATAGATTTTAGTACTTGTTACACGTTATGATAGATATTGAGTCATATTTTTATTAAATACTATCAAATTAGTCATATTTGTGTTGTGAATAAAAGTAGTCCACATTCTGTATGTAAACTGTACCTTTCTAAATGCCAGCACGTGTGTTGGAATATAAATCGAACTGATTTCAGTATATTATTATAATTACCCATTATTAATTCATTCCAAGCAAATAAGCCGCATCGATAGTACTTAAGTAGAAAGTTACTTAACGATAAATAAGCACTTGGCTTCAACTTCAAAGCAAACTATCATCGAGAAAGTCTTATATTATCAGAGCGTTTATCACTTGGGTGCCAGGTAAATATTCTGAATTCTATTAATTTTACCCATTCGAAAACTTTATTATAATACTTCGAAACCTTTTTTTATAAGTCTAGACTTCTACAGAATAATATAAGGTAGTGTCTGCTGGGCAAATCTCAAGAGGATTTAAGACACTAGGTACTAATCAAAGATGTAACGGTTACAATCAGTACATAATTATTATTTATAAAACAAAGTAGCTTCGCTGTCTGTCTATCCCTATATTATTATTATGCTTTTTTTATCCACAAAGAGGAAGCTCTTTAAAACTACGCAACAGATTTTGATGCGTTTTTTTTTTAACTTAAAGTGATTCAAGAGGAAGTAATACATTGTAGCTGTACGAAGCAGGGGCGGGTCGCTAGTTATGTAATAAATAAATAACTCAGCCGCTAGTGAAGCAAGAATATTGGTCCCATATCAGAGTTTCAGGTCGTTTGTGAGTTGCACCACAACCACAATGAGTCAGTTGCCAAACTTAAAAGAGATGTCAAAACGCGTTCTCCTATAGATTTTGTCCATAATACCTATGGTTGATAAGCTAGATGAGGTCACTTTTTCGCCTAATTTTTTAATGATATCAAAGCTTTCATTCACAGTTTTCGTGTTATTTATTTCCTGTGTGTATTGTACTATAGGAAAAATTATAATTTAACATGGATGCAATCTGTTACTGTTTTGTTATGTTGTTTATCATTATTAAATAAATTGCTGGAGCAGTAATTACCTATTGATCTCTCGGCATCTCAGTGTGACAAGCCCTCAGTAACCGCATTAATATTAGAAGCAATTTCATTTATGTCGTATCGAAAGTTTTGTCCCCGATATTTCATTTTGTTCCTGGAAACTGATAGGGTTGATATTTGCCGTTGTTTGTATCAATACTGGTTCTTTAACAGTTAATAAATATTGATAAAGTAATTTTGGTAAGAAGCAATTTGTGAGTTCGTTCTGTTCATGTTAAGAAGTTCATTCCTCTTTTTCCAAGAAATGCGTAAGGAGAAGAAGAAGAATATGAATCAAACCAAAAAAGCTTAAAATACATTAGTAATATTTTTTGCCTTTAAAATGTACAGCAAGCAGTTAATCATCAATAGTTGGTGACACCCAAAATTGACAACAAAACTTTATTCCAATTTTATTGAAACAAAGACGTCTCACGAACTTTTTGGCTACTCCGGGTAACACGAAATATTTATATGAGGCTGAGGTGTGTTATAATGATAGTCAACATTATTTCAGTGTTTTTTTTTATGAAAGGGTGTGCACACCGTACAGGGTGTATGAGTCAGTTAATTTTATGTAAAAGACTAACGCCCGTATTCACAAGCGATGCTTGCTTATGTGAAGCAAAAAATGGAACGCACAGCGTTGAATAGAGATCTGAGATTGGTTCGTGTGTCACCCTGTGCGTCGAAGCGCACTGTGAGATTTCATAGCAATGTTTGTGAATACGGGCGAAAGATATTTATTTACAGAGGTGGACTTCTTCGCAGTTTCGCAAAAATATCACCAAGTCCACTCACATTGTATAAAAACAAAAATTTCTCTAAACGTTATTTACAGAAGCAAACTATTAATGAGCTTATTACTCAGTAATTTATTCCAGCGGATTTTCATCCCTAC